TTTTTATTCCTGACAATGTTGTCAGCCTGTGCTAAAATGTATTGAGTGTCATCACCGGATGTCACATATCCGTCAACCAGACCAATCAATGTGTCTAATCTTATCGATTCTGAATTTTTAGCATTCAGAGTTATACCCTTAGCTTTCATGCAAACCTTACCGCCGGCGGTACGGTACCCGTATGATTTTGGACCGCTGGAGCAAAACTCAGTAATATAATCACCATCACCTATTTCATCCGTCAGCTCACCCAAATGATCACCGAGAGGCGGTATCCAATCGCCATCCTTAGATACAAAAATAACGCTATCCGTGTCGGAGTATAACAAACGTTCGCCGAGTTTGTCCATCAAATTGTACAATTCCATCCGGGCGAACGCCGTCGTGAAGGCTCCCACGAAAACGTTAATGTCGCTAGTAGTACTTGGAGTGTCTTGAGACTGTTGATACTGGACGATAGCCACATCATCTGAGATGAATGTGAAATATTTCAAATTATTAGTTTTGCCAAAAACGATCCTGGTGAAATCTTCAGGGTCATGCACCAATCTGGTAGCTGGAAGGTTTTCACGCATAGAGAACCTCCCCCACAAACTGTTTAACAATAGCTTGTTTATGGCACGCTGGGCCGGGTTATGACAAATCATTGAGGGGTCAAGTTGAATCCCCTCTTTCTCGTAGTACTCGCGAATATAAGTCTCTTTTTCAGCATCGGTGACTACGTTTGAAGGGTACCCGGATGCTTGTTGTTTCAAACGCAAAAACGTTTTAACGTATTCGCTAAACAATTTATCCGTCCTTACAGGAAAATGCCAAACTTCGTCGAGTTTGACGACTACATAGCCTTTCTCGATCGCTTTTAAGAGCTCAATACTGACCCAGCAGCCGGAAAGAGCCCTCTCGTCATCTGTGTGATCGCAGCATGATGTCTGGTTTTCTGCATGCGCGCATGTGCGACATAGCGGGAACATGAGTTTACCGCCGCATCTGTAAGGTAGGACCGGGTGTAGTAATTTACGTGGCGGATACACTGTGGCTTTGATAAGACCGTAATAATTTTCAATCGGTTGAAAATCGTGGAAAATTATTTCCGGGTGACCTATCGGGTAACTCTTTCTTGATTGACAGAACGGGTATAAAGACGTAAAATCCAGGTAACTGATCTTCTCGCCATCGGACACTTTGTGATACAACTTATAAGCATTCGTGCGCCCCCCAAAAAGAGCATCTCGGGGTTTCAGTCTCTCGGGAGCCGAATAAGTGCTCATAAATTCCATCACTGAAGCGTTTGTCTGCTTCATCTTAGTCCATTCACATTCCCAGATAACCTCTACCTTCATACCATGCAGACTTTGTAGAATTTCGACCTTTTCGTCAGACTGAGTTCTGAGAACACCGTACGGGACCAACGACAGACGGTGTAGGTCGTGGGGTTCGTAGCGACATTCGTGCCCATGGTGGAAACAACCGTTGAATTCGAGAGCATACTTAACTCCGCCCTGTTCATAATAACCGTCTAAGAAAAATTTACCGATTTGCATTTCACCATGATTCAGAGCATGATGAACGTCGACATTTCTAGATTTTTTTACATACTCCAACCATTCGATCGACACGCTTGAGAACGTCTTATTTTGTTGAATGTACGCATTATTGTGGGTTAGAGCCACAGTGTCCTCTACGAGATAATGAGTTTTGAAGACCCCCATACAGCAACTCGCAAGAGTCGTGAAACTGAACGGATCGATTTGAGTACACTCTATGAAGGATTCGCGGTATTTCATACACGCTTCGCGTAGCAAGATAACGTCGTTTTCACCATATTGGTATAATTGCTCCTTAAAGTCAAAGACCGAACGTGAAGCAATAGTGTACCATGCGTCGAACTTTGCACGATCTTTTTCAGATAGGTTGTCATACCCATAGAACTTTTTGTCTGGGATCGGACCGATATAGTTCTCATTTTCTTTTCTATTGAAATGATGCGGAAAGTAACCTTTCTCCGTCGTGGTGAGATTTAATGCCGCGGGCATCTTCGATAGAGCCATCGGGATGAATGATATGCTATCGATGTAGCGGTGTTCGAACACATCATCGATCATTAATATTAATTTACAACCTTGCATGATGATGTCCATTTTTAGACCGGCTTTGCAGTAATATTCGAGAATTAGAAAGGAGTCAAATCTGGACGCGTTATGAGCTATAAAACAGTAGCCTTTGTATTTGGGTTTTCTGAAATGTGTAATCATTTTTTCAACACAATCAGTTCCTTCAGCTACAAATTGTGTACCGCGAAATGTTATCGCGCAGACAAAATTAGCCACGTGCCTGCCATTTTCATAACGGGTCTCAAAATCGTAAAAAACATATTTTTTCTGTGGTTTTTTGAGTCTTTCAGGATTGATAAAACATTCATGAATCCCGGGGCTTGTAAGTTCTTCACGACATGCCCAACAACGGATCGGGGCGCACTCATGCGGTGACTTACGCTTTTCGTAACGTCTACCGCATTCCTTGCAATATTTTATAACGTCACAAGGAGCTTGATCTCTTTCGAGCACCGGCTTCTTGTGAGCGTCGTAGCAGTACGCCGATTTACAATAACGCAAACAATCGCGGCAATGGATGGTTTTTTTAGGATGCTTGTAGCAATCACTGTCAAAACAGACATTACAGACGTAATCGCATTGGTGTTGGTTAAGCTTCGAGAACCCTTTATAGCAAAATTCACACACATAGCTAGCACCTATGAAAGATGTCAAATTGAGAATCATGTAGTAATGTTCGTCTTGTAGATAAAGGAACAACGTTTTTAGGTGCGGCTCTTTGTTATTTACGTAGGTTTGTAACACGCCAGTGTTTAACCTATAAAAAACAACAATTTTTACATCAAACAGTCGTTCAAATCTATCAATGTCATGAAGACCTACTTCCTGTTGGATAGCAAGACCAGCTTTATTGTGTATGATCGCTGCTCGGTTTTCTAATTCACACTCAGGTAATTCAGGCTCTAGAAAATGTGCTAGACATATAGAGAAGCACAGTTTGTTTGATATGTTTGTAGGTATAAATAAGCTCGTCTTTTTTCTTTTGATTACCTGATCAAATGCCAAATCAGTGAGTTTACGACGAGCCCCACCGCCTCCTAGTCTGTTCATTACAACATCAGCTTCAATCTCGACAGTTTCGTTAGCTGCTAACTGGTCATCGCTCTGTAGAATTTTCACAATTTGGTCCATAAAAAGATTAACGTCATAATTATTACTCGGTGTTAAAACAGCGTTTACATCGGATTTCAGAGATGGGGTTCTAAGGCATAAATTGATAACGCTACCGTCACCGCCAATCTGTCTAGCAAATGACACTATGTCATCCATTGTATTGTGTAAACGTATGTGGTACGTCGCTAAATCCTGTGATCTTATTTCTCTCATGTTTAAAGACCTACGCAGCGATACGCTGTTGAAACGAGGTCTTGGTAAAACGTGATATTCATTTACACTACCACCTTCTCTCAACAATGTTTCAATGTCGATATGTTGCTGACCTAAAGGTTCAACATTAGCGGATGTTGATGGTTGCTGATCATTGTCGACGGCCGGGTGCGGTGTTTTGTTATTACACGTATCATTTATCGCGCGACTAGTCGACGGCTGTTCATGATCAATCGCGATAGCTGACGGCATACCGTTAGTGTCGTTATAAGGAGTGGCATCCTGAGTTAGTGCCCCACCGCCCTGTTCGGTAGATAATAACGTTTGTACGTAGTCTGATAAATTAAATTCACTTTCCTGATCCATCTCATCTAAATTTGGACTTAATAAAGAATCGAAGTTAAAAGCATCGTCCATAGAATTTAACTGCAGATCATCTAAGAATCTATCTGTGTCAGGATCGATAGACCTTTGTGGTGTAACAGATAATGATTGATCTGGTTGATTTTTGTGTGCATCATCTGAGGTATTTACGTTACCCATTACAGTTATTTTATTTACTTGATAATTATTTTGAATTTAAAATGTTTACTTTATTGTTTAAATTAATGATTACTTTTATTGAATATCGTACCATAGAAATTATTTAATCTTTTAGTTTTATTTATAGTTATGTTTAATTAATATTTTTTACAAACTTTTATTTTTATTGACTACTTAAAATTATTTTTATCCTTTATTTTAAAATGATTTTATTTTAATTTTTAATTTAATATTTATAATCAGATTTGTTTTAGTTTTATTAATATTTTAATTCTTTACTTTTTAATTTTTATGTTGATAATATTGCTTTTATTGATTGTTTATAGTTAAGGTTGTTTTAGTATTATTAATATTTTATTTTTTATTCTTTACTTTTAATTATTTAGGTATGACTATTTAATTATTTTGGGTATTACATTTAAATGTGTTACTATTTTTCTTTTATTTTATTTATTGATGTATACCTGGCTTTTTTTATTAATTTTATTTTCAGGTATACTTTATGGTTATATTATTGTTTTTTATTATTTTATATTTTAGTCATATAAAACGGACACAATCTAAATCTATTTTATTAGAAAGGCATTAACAACAATATCAGTTATGGTATAAACAGATAATTGTAAAGAAATACACAGTATGAATCGATAGAAATAACCAATTTAAAACTAAAACAGAAATAAACAAATCAGATATTTTTAATGTATAACAGCAAAAATATTAACCAATAAAGAATCAAATTTTAAAAAATGTAAAACAGAAACAAAATTAATTAAATTTTAAAATGTGTAACTAAAAGCAGAAATAAACAAATCAGATATTTTAAATGTGAAACTAAAAACAGTATTAAACAATATAGAATCGAATTTTAAAAAATGTAAAACAGAAAAAATTAAAGAAATAGAAATATTTTAATTGAATAACTAAAACAGTATTAATAATATTAAATAGAATTTATATCTTAATCAAAGATGATTAAATGTATACATTGAAACAGTATGAAACAAAGCAAATACAATGTTTAATTGTAAACTCAAATTGAAAATTTATAAATCTTTTAAAATGTACAATCAAAACAGAATTAAGAAAATTAATACAGGGGGAAAATGTAAAATCTAACTAATCAAACAAAAAGAGATCAGATATTACACACAAACTTAACACACTTGATCAAAACGAATAACTAAAACATAAGGCTAGCTAACATGAATCAAAATCTAGTAATAAAAGTACATTGAGTAAATAAAAACAGTGTTATTGGTGAATCATCTACGTATCAAAGCATTTTTAATTGAACAGAGTATTGAACCTAAAACACGGCGATCACGTTCAGCTTTGTTCAGTAAATTTAACACATCAGTCAGTTTCTGATTTGCAGCCCTTAATTGTTCATCTATATCACGCTGCTGGTGTAAAACATATTCAGATATCTGATCAATTTTTACCTGGTTTCGCTCCAGATATTGCAGAACTAGTTGATTAAAATCGGGTTCGACGATAGAGCTGGGTCCTGTTAGTGTGAGATCATCGGTTTGTTGTGGTTGGAAAACGTGGTCGCCGCCATGATTGTTTTCTTCCTCCTTTTCCGGCTCGTCTTCTTCTTCTACTACTAAAGACGGGTATGGTGTATATACAGGACTGCGACCGCCACCTAGCGTTGAGGCATAACCATCGCTGGATTCACCGTCATCCGACCAACGTTGAGGGCTTGGTGCTAAAACATCATTAAAAAGAAAAAGTCTTTAATATATTGTTTAGAAAGTCATAATTTTACATTTAATAAAATAAAACACTCACAATGTTGTGCCTCAATACTGCATTCAGAAGGTCCGTTGGGGCTGCTAGCCGGAGACGTGGGAACTAGAGGAGAAATGCATATATAATGTAATTTAAATTAACAGAAATGTGTACACATCATATCCGATTAATGTATTTTCACAGTTAATAAAACACTTACGTTGTTGTATTTCAAAAACACTTTCCCGAGGTCCGAGCGGGCTGGTATCCGGTGATCGCGGAACTAGAGTAGAAGCAGATAGTGCATATTCAGAAAAAAAAATTCAAACTAGCTCTAGCATGAAACATTCAGCATGGACGGAGCGCACAATTCAACAGTTATAAATTACATAGATTTAAACCGTATAAAACAAGATAATACATTACCTAAACGAGCTTCGTCTTCATCATCACCATCGTATTCAATATGTTGATCCTGTACGGCGGTATAAATTTTCAGCCTCTTGTTTGAAACAGGGCTAAAGTTATAATCAAGGCGTCTTTTTTCCGGCCGTGTCGAGCTGACCAACGTGGCTTGGACCAGATCGGTGGCTTCTTGCTCGTCCTCCGCTGTTAAATCAATGACCTCGATTATATCTGAAACATAAAAGTGAAAATATTGTATTAATAACGTTTAGATTATCTATAGCTGCAGCATTCTAGAGATATTGAATGACCAAATTCACACGACTATTTCTGTGGCCTGTATGAAAAGCGCTCGTCTTCGGGCCACGTGTGTTTTCTAATCGGGTTTCGAATACACGCTAGGATACAAAGGGCCTAGAATTTTATATTTAAATAAAACATTTACCTTCTTCCCTTTGGGCGTCAGCATTGGATCGAGGCCACGCTACGAGATAAAGCAGAAATGTATGATTTAAAACAGCCGTTTATATAACATATAAAATATCCGTATAAAACAGTATTTACTCACAGAATTGGTTGATGGCTTCAAAAGCATCAATCTCTGATGAATTTAATTCTGTAACATAAAAGCTGATAGATTGAAAATATTTCAGGTCACAGTATGACTGACGAAGTATTACTTAATGTAATGTATTACAGCATAATAATATTATTTTACTTACGACGAGCCATGCTTCCTCAAAAAGTTTAGTGTAGACTAGAAGAGGTGGTGAAGGAGACGAATCACATCAACAGGCGATGACCAGATGAATAACTATCCCTTGGTTGTCTGCTGTATTTAAGTATAAAGATGTGGGGGTCGAGCCCAGGTGTCGGAGAGAGATAAGAACCATAAAAACTACTCGAATGTATTACTTTCAAGATCACAAACACGGACTTTTATATAATAGTAGAAATAAAAATATCTTTTATATATTATGACAGCTAGTTTATAGATTATTTAATTTATTAAACAGTATCGTTAAAACCTGATATAAAGTAATGGAATAACTCGAATGTAGGGTTAAATAAAGTATATATATATAGTCGTGTATGTATTATATAACGCATATCTTTAATATTGAATCATTGCACTTTATATGAATGAAATTAAAAACATTGTTATTTTCTAACATTGTAGTCGGATATAATCAAGCATCCGGAAACATTTTAACAAGTAATATTAATGTTTTAATGGCTGCATAAATACGTGGTTATTTTAATTAAAATATCAGATGTGTTTAGATAAAACATGGTACATGATAATTGTAGCTAATACGGTCTTTTAGACTATTGCATCCAAGTTGGTGTAATACACTCGTTTATTATTTAGATAAGGTTAAACATATTTAATTTAACAGGGTGAAAATAAGTGAATAACCGAATTTATGTATTTGCTGAGTAAACACTAGATGGCGCTAGAGGTCTATGTTTGTGCTCAGAGACCCATGGCGCTTATCGGCATCAAAAGACCTTAGCGGAACCACCCGCTGTTCGTGTTCACAGATGTGTTCGGATCCTTACTGTGTTTATTACAACGGACAACGGCTATAACCTTATCGTAGAGACCTGTAGGCGCTTCATGCAGCGCTGAGGAAATTAGTTCGACTGAGGTGCCGCACGACTGTTTGCATAACAGACAGCCAAATTCAAAGAAACGTAAACGCAGTTTAATGTTTGTATCAAATAAAATTAAATAGACTAAAACAAGACGTTCAGTAATGATTATCTGACGTATGTCAGATTATTAACGTAAACAACATACATCCTACTTGCGGCAATCATTAAAATGATGTAAGAGGTTATCTTTAGCATGGATTAAAATATGTAACAACGGGGTATTGAGTTAAACATCATACCAAAATGATGATGGTTTATTAATTACAGTTTCTTGAATTCATTTCTTCCTATATCTCTATATTGAGCCAAAATAATATAACATTCAAATCGTGTCGAGTGTTTATAATAATATTTAATATTCATTGTGTATGATTTTAAATTATTTGTAATTGAACATTTATTCGCAGCTTACATCATAGATAGATAGATTAAAAAATTGTACGAGATAAACTTTACGTTAGAAATGGGTCTTACAACAGAGTTATTCGTTTATTGTTTTATTATAACATTTAATTAAAGTTAAATATTTGATATTCATTGTGTAGGAATATAAAATATTTGTAATTGAACTTTTATTCACAGTTTGCATCATAGATAGATTTAAAAAAAGCATGAGATAATCTTTACATTACAAATGGATCATACAACACAGTTAATCGTTTATTGTTTTATTATAACATTGAAATAAAGTTAAACAACCATAATAATCACGATGGATGAATATTTCTCAATGTTGAACAATCATTGTCTCATTCGCACAGATAGAGAGACATACAAACAGACCGAGAGCCGTACCAGAGAGACGCAAACAGATATAAAAACACAAAGTCTCACACTTTAACAGCCGGAAAGAGCCGGTCTGAACGATAACCATGTAAACGGACGTTTGCGTTTTATTTAACAACCGATGTCATAATGTTCACTTATCAGATACACGCATACGGCGTAACAGTCATCAGATGTATTTTATCTTTCTCAGGCACGCTTCAACCGGTTCAAATTTCCCGCCCACACACACACACACACAGGCACAGCCATAGCCTCTCGACACACCCACACCCGAGCCGGAGAGACGCACACACATACACAGACACGCAGTTCTGACCATAACAGAGCAAAGGCAACACACCGGTGCATATACCTTAGTTTATTAATTCTAACATAATATATTAACATAATATATAATTTAAAACAATAATGACAATATAATATTGTATATTTATAATAACTGAATTGATTACATTAATTAAAATATAATACTGTATAATATTAAATAATATAGATTTAATAACGGTTGATATAATTTATTTCATTAAAACCTATTTCATAATATTAAAATATCTCATTTTAATGTAATAATACCGGAATTATTAATTTTATTCAATTGATAAGAATCTAATTAACGGAATTATTAATTTTATTCAATTGATAAGAATCTGATTAACGGAATTATTAATTTAATTAAAATGATAAGAATCTAATTACCGGAATTATTAATTTAATTCAACTGATAAGAATCTGATTAACGGAATTATTAATTTAATTCAACTGATAAGAATCTAATTAACGGAAAGGGGCGGGGTTTACACCGGAAGCCCCGCCCTAAAAGGGGCGTGGCCGTCATCAATCAAACTTTTTTGACACATGCCACCGGATATTACTCTCTCTTAGGACGTTGCATTTTGCTTGGAAATGAAAATTGGGTTGACGTCAGAACCCAATATCAGGCCAAAGTCAATGTCCAACATCGAACAGATGTTGCATTTTGGTTACTACTTCGCAACCTAAAAACAACAAAAATCAACGTCCAATGATGTTACAGCTTAACGTTCTGTGGACATTACCAATATGATGTCTATCAGATGTTGGATTTTGGTTGCCATACGTAACGAATAAATGTCAATAAATGTCATATATTCAATATGATGTTTGGTTTAAGACGTTGGCTTGACATTGGATTTTGGTCACTTTAAACACAGCCTAAAATCAACAAAATATCAACGCCATTTTACGTCGTTATTGGACATTAAATTAACATTGTCCTTAGAAGCTGGTATCTAAATCTAACCTAAGATTAATGTCTGGTGACGTTGTGTGTCTGCTGGGACAACCAACATGGAATTTTCCAAATTCTTCAAGAGGATTTGTAGTGTCATGTTGATTACCACAAAACAACCTATAAGTACTGGGAGCAGAGAGAGGGGAATGGTCGGCAAAGGGCCTCGAGTCAGAAATCAAACTCAGTTCGTCATGAGCATCATGGTGCTTTATGTCAGCGCACTTAACCACTAGGTTATTGGTACCAACGTTCTAATCCTTTCTGGATGTTTTAGGGATTTAGTCATAGATATGTGTATATATAGATTAGTCATATATATATATATATATATATATATATATATATATATATATATATATATATATTGGCCATGTTTATTGACAGTAATTTGGCATAACTATAGAAAATTTAGTTGTTTTTTTTACACTGAATGGTAAAATACATAATGTTTGCATTTTGTAACTACATCTTTTAATATGAGTATTTAACATTTTTAAAAACTGAAATGTTGTGTATTTTTTTAACCTATTGTTTGTTTATTTGCATCTTGTGTCTTATTAGATAAGATCCTTTACTATATTTTTGCTAAAAGAAAGCTCTTGTAAATGAATATGTGAACTAGAATGTTTGGGGTTTGCATGAAAAGCTTCAGAATCCGAAAATGGATGGTGCTGTAAATTAAGTGAACAAATCTACTGTGCAGGATGGATTTTTCTATTGTCTATTTTGTCCTGTTCATACCCACAGCCGTCACATTATGTCCTGCTTTGCAACTGCAAAGGCCTGCAGGTAGAGCTCTACACATTTTTCACTCTCAGTTTGGTGTCCCAGACAATTTTTTTTCAAATTTCCACCAATTATCCGCTTCAGAAATCAAGTCCCAGACTTGTGCTTGTTGCATTTGTCGCAGCAGGGTAAAGGAATTTGCTGTTTCAGATGTTCGCTGTCACATACAAACAATAAAATCAATATCCAATCTTATTGTTTAAATAATACGAATATCCAATCCTGCACTTCTAAATAAGTTTTTGTAGCACAATAGACAAGTTTTGTAACTTTAAATAGTTTTACATGATCATTTTCTTTCTTTCCAAAATTTATGCCAGATTGAAAAAACATATATATATATATATTTGTTTTGTTTTTTGGTTGTGGCCATCTTTCAATCTCTCAGACACTGGTCAACACAGGCATCTTTCAACATTTTTGCCATCACGAGTTCTTTGTTTTTCTGTCTCCTGTGTTTTTTTAGGTTTTTTTTTCTGATTGTGATCCTCAACTTATTGTTTCCACCTTGTGGGAAAAATGCAGTTTACACAAACAAAGTGTCAGTGCAAGCTACACATACACGTGTATGCAGGGTTATAAATAAATCCAGCAATGCACATAAGTATTTACATACTATGTACAGATCCTAGTGTAATCGTAGAATACATTACTTGAGAGTACAATTCCTTTGACACACATTTCTTCATCCGTATGTGTGCATTGCACATGTTCAGCCCAACTGTCATTCATTCATTTTCTTTTCGGCTTAATCCCTTTATTAATCTGGGGTCACCACAGCAGAATGAACCACCAACTTATCTAGCATATGTTTTACGCAGCAGATGCCCTTCCAGCTGCAACCCATCACTGGGAAACACCCATACATTCTCATTCACACACATTCACTACGGAAAATATTAGCTTACCCAATTCACCTGTACCACATGCAAACTCCACACAGAAATGCCAACTTACCTGGCCTAGGCTCAAACCAGTGACTATCTTGCTCTTAGGCGACAGCACTACCTACTGCACCACCGCGTTTTTATAACCAAAAATATGTTTGTCCACAGGCTGTCAACACTAAACCAAGCTGTTTGTTTACAGTCAGAAAAAGAAACAAGAGAAGAAACTAGAACAACAAGCTACTAAAGACAGCAAAAACAAGAGGCCCAGGCTGCATTTTTAGGTCGACATTTTGGCTTTGGGATCACCCCATCTTGCTCTCACTGGATCTGCTCCTCTGCTAAGAACAGCCAGATTTCCATTAGTGGTGGGCAAAGCGAGGCTTCGTGAAGCACTGAAACACTCGAATCATATGTGTTGAGGTTTCGAAAGTTTCAAAAGCTGTCTCTACAATGGCACCTAGGGATCATTTTAAGTGACCACCAACTTCAAAAAACAGACAGCAAATTGAGGTATTATACCCAACATTGTTTGGATGAGACATGAAGTGATTTATTGGAGTGGTAAGTGTTCTTCACTGGCATGCAGATGAACTGGGTTTGAATCCAGTATGAAACAATTATTCATATTAATAATCTTTTAAAATGTGTTATTTTATTGCTCCATTCTTGTGCATTTTGTTTTAACATAAGTCTGATATCCAAATAAACTCTTTGTGAATAAATGTGTTGTTTTGGGCATTAAAAAAATCTATATTAATAATAAAAGACTTTAAGTCACAATATCTGAATGCTCAAGCCGGGATTCGAACTATGGTCACTCGGATATATTATGCCCGCTCACAGTCCACTCGGCTACAACCAACCCTGTCAATCAAAAGCAGATTCGCCAGCTCTCGGTATGCTTGTGCAGTTCCTGATCCTTTGAATTGGTTAAGTCATGTGACCTGGGTGTTTTGAAACATTTCGGAGCAGTGTTTTGATTTGAGATCTCGACACGTCAGTTTAGCAGTCGCCATCCCTAATTTCTATTTAAGGGATTCAAGTCTTTACAGACAAAGCTAGATATTAAATAAATTAAACAGGGGTCAACAAAATATTTTTGGGTTTAACTTTAGTGCAATAATTCTTTGTCAGTATTTCAGATGTCAGAAAAAATTGACAGTTATTTGCAATTTAAACGGCTCAAGGGCAAATTTCTGTTGCCATACACCAAAACGTTTATCTGTAAAAGCCTAGTTGTATGGAAACAGGTTGTGGAAGGCAGTTTTTGATTCTGAATGGCTTTCCAGGGGTAAATGTAATGTTACATGACATTGAGTTTACAAGATGTTTTCCTGACGTTGTTAAAACACTGATTCACTGATTATTTGTAATCCAGTTTATTTCAGGATGTTGTGCTGTTTCTTAAAACTTACTTTCTAATTTAGCCAATTATGTTTTAATCTTGCTATAACTACAGTAAATGTGTTTTCTCTCTTTCACTGAGGTACCATTTACACTAGTGCAGTTTCATTTTAAAATGGCATTTTAGAATGAAAACTCTCCTCTTACAGACTGGTGCATTTATTGTGTTTAAAAAAGAAAAACAATGTCCATCCACATACAGCCTAAAACACATGATGCGTGATGAATCAGGGAACGATACACAATAGTCCAATCTGTCCAGGCAAAAAAAAAAAAAGAGTTATTGCGGATAACTGTGTTTCTGTTTTCAGTCTGTCTATACTTAAACAGAACTCCAGCATTTCTGACCTAAAACAGGATCTTAAGCATCTTTAAAATGTTCCAGTTTTGCCAGAGTAGTGTGGACACCATTTCAAGACCTATGGTTTTATAACAAAAACGCATTCGTGTAAATGGCATGACACTAGCTCCACTCTCTGAAATAAACGTACAAGAGCTGACTCTGGGGCAGTACCTTTTCAAAAGTTACATATTTGTACCTGAAAAAAACGATATTAGTACTTCAAAGGTACATTTTAGACACATTTGGGTACTAATGAGGTACTTCGAGGTACTATGAGGTACCACTAAGGATTTTTTAGGTACAAATATGTACCTTTTAAAAAGGTACTGGCCCAGTGACAGCTCTTGTACCTTTACTTCTGAGAGTGTACAGTTAAAGTCAGAATTATTAGCCCCTCTCTGAATTATTAGCCTCTTTGTTAATTTTTTTCCCCAATTTCTGTTTTAACAGAGAGATTTTTTTCAACACATTTCTAAACATAATAGTCTAATAGCTCATCTCTAATAACTGATTTATTTTATCTTTGCCATGATGACAGTAAATAATATTTTACTAGATATTTTTCAAGACGCTTAAAGTGACATTTAAAGTATTGACTAGGTTAATTAGGTTAACTAGGCAGGTTAGGGTAATTAGGCAAGTTATTGTAAAACGATGGTTTGTTCTGTAGACTATCGAAAAAAAAAATAGCTTAAAGGAGTTAATAATTTTGACCTTAAAAAGGTTTTTAAAAAATTAAAAACTGCTTTTATTCTAGCCAAAATAAAACAAATAAGACTTTCCCCAGAAGAAAAAATATTTTCAGACATACTGTGAAAATTTCTTTGCTCGGTTAAACATAATTTGGGAAATATTAAAAAAAGAAAAAAAATTCAAAAGGAGGCTAATAATTCTGACTTCAACTGTATGTTTCTATGCACTTATTTTTAGGCGCATTTTGGATGTGTGTATAAAAAATGATTGATGGAAAAGCCAAGATGTGCATGAGTTTTAAAAATGTGCATATATAACGTATGCGCATCACTGAGTAGAATAAACGTTTTGTTCAATAACAAAAGATGTGCATACATTACGATGGAAACACCTTCACCGAACAAATTCTAGTATACGCATTAAAAAAAGTCATGTGATTTCATTATAAGAGATCATGTGATGATAAAAATGTATGTGAATGGACAAACCAGCAGGCTGACCACATTGTAAAACATCTATATTAATTGCCTCCAGAATCAAGAGCATCTGGATTCTGCGTCTCACGCCTTCAAATGCCATTACATGTTAATTGCGTGTCAGGATTGCCTTCTGAGAAGCAAGTCATTTATTAAATGACAAAAAGATTTGCACAGCTTCTCTTACCTTAGCAAATTGTGTTTTTACTGTTGATATTTGGCTCCAGTTAATCATGAAGTGATGATTTTGTTCGCTCTGACTCATTGGATGGAAACACTGCTTTATTCGCACGCCTTTTATGCAATATTCCAGTTTTGCGGATAAAGTTAATTTGTATATTTGGATGGAAACACAGTCCTTGTCTTCTGAGGAGCAAGTGATTTATTAAATAACGAAAATATTCACGCAGCTTCTCCTACTGCAACAAATTTCATGTTTATTTTTGATATTTGGTGCCAGTTAATCAGGAAGTGACGATTTTTAACTTATTGGATGGAAACGCGGTAACACTTTATTTTGATGGTCCATTTGAGTATTAGTAGACTGTCTGCTTAATATTTGTTGAAACTGCTCCTTCAACAGACATTTAACTAACCCAAAACCCAACCTAACAGTCTACTTACAGTATAATTTTATGAGAATTAGTTGCAATGTAACCATCAAATGGACCATCAAAAAAAGTGACCGGAATTGCTGCTTTATCCGCACGTCTTTCATGTGATATCATAGTTTTGCTCATAAATTTAATTTGCATCTTTGGATGGAAACATAGCTAGTGAAACCATATGGTATAGGTCCTACATTCACTGAAACCTGATCGATATGGAAATGCGATTGGTTGGTAACTTTTTTCCTTATATGATGAAAAATATATGATGACATGATTGGCAACCACTGAATAGTCTATTTTGAATTAAGAAAGACTAATATGGAGCATATGTAGACTGTGCGTACACTACAAACCCCAACTGTGTTTTGTTTTTTAGGAAAAGAAGGGAGAATTTGTGGTAATCAACATCTTCTCAAAAGTGCTTTCAAATAAGATTAGCTTAAACTGAACCCAGAATATTCCTCTGACCACAGACCGCGCTCATGATAAATCACCTTTTTTAAAAATTCAGTGTAACGTGTCTCAAGAACCAAAAGCTGTACCTTCAAGGGACATCAATTATTGAAGAATCCATTCATCTCACAACAGAAGTCTAATTACAGCTAGAATAAGGCCAAATTGAATGAGGACACATGATCTCATTACGTGGTGGTGTCTGATACACCACTAAAATCCAATGGCACCAGAGCTAAACTAAACCAAAACCTGCACTTAGATCATGTGACATCCGCCTATCTGCATTTGGTGCACCATCTAATGATGTCACAGAGACTCCACCCCCTTCTAACTCGTGCAAAATGTCCCGTCAGTGACAAACGGTTTGGCACTACTTGTCTAAATGCCAAAAGATGGAGTCGGGCAATAATCCTCAAGGAAAGAGCTCTTTGGAGGGACTGGCGAGGAAAGGTCTGCTTGAGTCCCACCTGACGTGCTAAAATGTTAGTCGCACCCTAGTTTTTCCTTGCAGTCCACATTGACAGATGGAGTGTGTTGTCTTCTGATGGATGTTGGGGAGTCTCTTTGGATCGGTGATGATGGGATAGAGGAGGATGAGACTGCTAGGGTGAAGTAGGGCACGGAGATTAGGTTAGTGTGATGTAGGCGGATGCTTTTTCCTTTAGCTGCCGCAGACACAGATGGCAACTCCAGCTCCCTGCAAATAAAGAGACACAAATGTTGCATAATGTTGAGCCCTGTATTAATATTGTGGCCAGAGTTAGAAATACAGGTTTTAAATAGCAGTATTTGTGCAATGCAAACAATGTATTATTTAAATCATTTATAGTATTCATCTTAATTTTACACATGTAGCCTGTCATGTTATCAAATAGTGCTTTCTTGTTTAAACCACACTAAATTAAAACCACACTAAATCAAAATCACACACATAATATAGCAATGTTTGTAATACTGGCAAAAATAGAAATATGATGGCTGTAAATATGTATTTCAAGATTTGTTTTTTTTTGTCTTATAGTCTTTCTTGGCAAATCGTCTTCAAACTTCAAACTGTGTTTTATTTTGAGCAAACAACTCTCTAAAATGTGCAAGGTTTTTCTTAAAACTTAGATATTAATTATTTTTTTTATAATAATTACAATAACAACTGTATAACAATGTAAAATTATAAATGAAGTGATTTTTTAATTCAAATTAAAACAATTTTTTTTTTGTTATTTCCATTACCAAATCTGCTTGTTTAATACACAACCTCTGTAAAAGTAGTATATTCACTCTCCAGCCACTTTATTAGGTACACCTGCTCATTAATGCAAATTTCTAATCAGCCAATCATGTGGCAGCAACTCAATGCATTTAGGCATGTAAACATGGTCAAGACAATCTGCTGCAGTTAAAACCAAGCATCAGAATAGAGAAGAAAGGTAATTTAAGTGACTTTGAACGTGGCATGGCTGTTGGTGTCAGACAGGCTGGTCTGAGTATTTTGGAAACTGGTACTCTACTTGGATTTTCACGCACAACCATCTCCAGGGTTTACAGAAAATGGTACAAAAAAGAGAAAATATCCAGTGAGGGGCAGTTCTGTGAGTGCAAATGCCTTGTTGATACCAGAAGTCAGAGGAGAATGGCCAGACTTGTTCGAGCTAATAGACAGGTAACAGTAGCTCAAATAACCACTCGGTACAACTGAGGTATACAAAGAGCATCTCTGAATGCACATCACGTCCAACCTTGAGGCGGATGGGCTACAGCAGCAGAAGACCACACCGGGTGCCACTCTAGACTGATAAGTCTCGATTGCTGCTGTGACATTCGAAAGGTAGGGTCAGAATTTGGCGTGAACAACATGAAAGCATGGATCCATCCTGCCTTGCATCAATGGTGCAGGCTGGTGTTGGTGGTGTAATGGTGTGGGGATATATTCTTGGCAAACATTGGACCCATTAGTACCAATATAGCATTGTTTCAACACCATAGCCTACCTGTTGCTGACCATGTCCATCCCTTTATGACCACATTGTACCCATCTTCTAATGACTACTTCAGCAATTGGACTAACGCGCCATGCCATAAAGCACAAATCTTCTCAGACTGGTTTGTTGAACAGGGCAATGAGTTCACAGTACTCAACTGGCCTTCACAGTTACCAGACCTCAATCTAATAGAGCACCTTTGAGATGTGGTGGAATGAAATATTCGCCTCATGGATGTGCAGTCCACAAATCTGCTGCAACTGTGTGATGTCATCATGTCAATATGGACCAAAATCTCTGAGGAATAATTCCAGTACCTCATTAAATCTATGCCACGAAGGATTAAGGCAGTTCTGAAGGCAAAAGGGAATCAATCTCGGTACTAATAAGGTGTACCTAATAAATGTAGACAGTGAGTGTATTTTATTAATATTTAAGTTAAAAGTTGTAAATATAATGTTCTTTTTCTGGCCATGTTTTTTTCCTGATAAATGCGTTATACATTTTTTATTATAAAAAAATGATTGAGCTAAAATGTATTATTAATAATTATATAATCTACTTACTAGTTACTTATTACTTAATATTTCAGTGCACTCAAATGTAACAACCAAATATAAAAGACATCTCATCACATACCCTCCGGAGGCTCTGACATAGGGGGGCTTAGACAATACATATGATACCCTCTGTCGCAATCATCACAGAACAAAAGCTGATCCTGTAAAAATAATGCAAGTTGAATCTTGTATGAACAAGTCCCCAAACACCAGTGCTGGGGGCTCGGCATCCAGAAACACAACACAACACACACACAATGCACCGAGAGAAAGAGCATTGCTTCGTTCAGTTGACTTACATCGTTCTCTGAGGTGCCGCACAGACTGCAGGATTTACACTCGATGCACTGCCAGCGGTAGGTCCGCACAGCCGCTGTCATGTTCACCGTGAACTGCAAACATGACGGATGACCTGCACCAGCCATGAAAGAGGTAATGTGTAAAGAAAATTAATAAATCACATTTGCAAGTCAAGCTGTCAAGGGTTTGGGTCCGTCAGGGCCTCACCTGATCGGCCGCAGTCCGCACAGGAGATGAGATCTTCGGGACAGCCGGTTTTCTTTGAGCCCCCTAGACAGAAGTCACAGTAGCCGTTTGGGATGACGGAACCATCGGCTGCTTTTTTGGCTGAAAAGAGAAAAGCAAATGTGTTCATGAAAAGAAAAACAATAAGTTTATGGATTGATCATGTACAACGCTTTTTAGAAATTTTTACTGTAAGACCTTTTGAGACATTCAAAAAAACAACTAACTGCTGTATTTTGCATGCCAGGCCAGTTGGTGGCGATGTCACGTTATGAAGAATAACTCCACACCTGTACACACATAAGCCCAATCACGATCTCACAAGGTAACTATTTTACGTATTGTCAGAAAAGTATATAATTTGTAAGAATTAATTTGTATGAAATAAACTTTTTAAAAGGAGACATGCTTCCAAACCTCACTTCTAACCCTACTCCTCATTACGTATGAGATCGTTCAAATGAATACGAGTTAGCCATTAAATCAATGGCTTCTCAATACCAAGTACGCAAAGTTCAGACTTGTATCCTTGGAAGTTCAGACTTGCCAAGTTCAGACTTGGAAGAACAAACTCCCGAGGACGCAAGGACACAAGTCGGGTTCTTCTTCAAAAAGAACAGCAGTGCACTTTATAACGTCCCTTAACTCACCATGAATTCATTGTTTTCACTGTCCATATAAAATAAAATGATTTAATTCTATAGAGTAAAATAATTAATATTATATTAATATTATAAATCTATATTTTTGAATTAGGAAAATGTACACATAAATCCAAATAAATGTGAAGTAAAGTGGGTTATTATACACAAACACGTGCCTTTGATTATCAGTTTTAATATTAAAATATAAAGTACAAACAAACACAATAAGAAATAAAGATAATGCTAAGTTTGATAAACAAACAGCATACAACACAGTAACATTATTAAAGACAATTATAAATAAAACTGCCAAAATAACACACCTGGGAACAAATAATATTATAAGACCAAAAACTGTCCGTTCGATATACGCAAGATGTATTAAATATCATGTTTTAACTACAATGGAGAGATGAGATCCAGCGGTACATCAGAGATAGACTAACGATGTAAAGCTGCTATTGGCAGGGGAGTTGATGATGAAGCTCCTGCTGGCAGGCTGGAGGTCAGAGTACACATAAGCTGAGGCACATCGCCAAAGATGCGTTATCTTTGTGAATAAACTGCCGATTCGAGTTTAAAACAACTACATTTTCCCCTGAAAAAACTCCTAAAACTTTATTTTGTGACACAGTAAAGGAGTATTTTTAAAACCATGTGGGGTTTCTCCTCCACCATTAGCATTTGCTGGTTTAGCTGCAATGTATTCTGGGATACCTGAGCTTCGCAAGTCACCTCTTGAAGCATCCTTGGCCAAAGGGATAGAGCAAGTACACATGCGGGAGTTTTATCTGTACTTGGCGAGATGTGAACTCTGAATTGGAACAGTACTTTGACGACAGTTGATGACGTTCACGAGGACACAAGAACGCAAGTACAGACAAGAACCAATATTGAGAAACAGATAAGGAATTGCCATGACATTTCGTTAACAGTCCTGTAGTTTTGCTTGTTAGATACTCACATATGCCTAGACCACATTCCCAATTCCAGTCCTCAGAACCCCTCGCCCTGCACATTTTGTTTGCCTTCCTTACTAAAAACCCCTGAATCAGATCAACAGCTTGTTAACAGAGAGATCCATGAACTGATCTGTGTGTCAAATAAGAGACACATACAAAATGCACAGGGCAGGGTCCTGGGGACCAGAAATGCAAACCACATGCCTGAACACACTAAGAACTAGTTGCTATGAAAACTAACTATGTAGTGGCCTCGCATCGACTGCGTCTGGTCACGTCTGAACCAAAAAGTGGCTCATGATCACACCAAATGGACAACAGCCACATAAAATGGGAGCATACAATCTACACTTGCATGGGTAGATCTGTCTTTCCATACCGGCAGGTGGCACTATTCTGCATTGTCATTCCACAAAGGGGAAACCGAAACTAGTGCTGCACACATACAAACCATAATCAAAGCTTCGTCACTTCAGTTTTTGCACTGATTTGTAGCTGAACAGCCAATCAGAGCAATCTCTTTCACCGAAAGCCTACATGCTGAATCATGCTCATGCTTTAAAGTTAGGGGTTAGCTTAACCATCATTCCACACTTCAACATGGGGAGCGGCAGTGAAGTGAGGCAACAGTACGAGAAAGCCCTGGTGTCTTTCAAATTCTCGTTGTGGGGACATTTCGGTTACACGTATAGCCTACTCAAACGGAAACACTTCCAACATGACTGCACATCTGCAGTGCCATCACCCAGCAGTATCACTGTCTGAAGGCAGAATAACAGAGAAGGTAATAAAAGCCTCTAAAAAACAACAATCCCTCGCTAAATCCTTCCAGCAAACATACCCAACCGAATGTGTTCCGAAAGACACATAAAAATAACAAAGGCAGTGTTAAATTTAGTTAAGATGGTTTATTTATGTTTACTGAAGTACAAATATGTTTACTTGAAATGGTCAATTTATGTTTAACTTCACATGTATGTTTTTTTTTCAAAATGTAGAAATTTATGTTACCCAGTTTGTACATAGGCTACCAGCAGCTGTGAGATTTCAGTGTTAATTTTTGTATTTTACAATACACTAGGAACTATTATACTTTTCTGGCTTTGAAGTAAAATAAAGTAGTCTTAAAATAAGAAATTGTTATTTTTTCTCCTTAATCTCTTACTCTTTCTATTGCCTAAGCATAGAAAAAACACTTATGTGTCAAGCCATCAGAACCAAACTGAACATTGTGCTAAAAAAATCGATGTATTAAATGTATTGAACGTATTGTTGCATCCCTAGTATATAGGTCATTTTTCAAAATACTGAAATAGTAGATGAGGACAGACTAAAAAATCCACACCTTGTGAGTCCAGCAAACCTGCTGAACCATTTTTGTGAATTAGAAAAATGTTAATACATTTACGTATTTTTTTATGTATGTTTTAACTTCACATCTTTTTTGGACATGTCCATTAAAAAATGTCAGATAAATCCTTCCCTAAACCCAACCAATAGTGTTTTTAAAAGCCAATGTAAGAGAAAAGTGTACTGTGACCATGTAGTTTCACATTGATTTAACATAGCTTTTATTTTTCAATTGTTATTAATTATTTTTTATTGTGGAGCCGTGCTTTAGCAAACTCAAACATCTGCATCACTGCATCCAGACAAGTACAATATATTAAAGAGCCCATATTATGGGTTTTTGAAAATGCCCTTCCATGTAGTGTGTAACACAACTCTAGGTGAAGTGAAGTATCCAGCTAAGGCTTAAATCTGAAAGAGTACAGTGTTAAAATGGTTGATTCATCTATAAAAGAGTCGACTCATAGTGCTTCAAACGAGTCGCCATGATAACGAGTCATTAGGTGTTTCGCCATGACGTACTAACAAAACCAAGTTATTCACATGCACGCGCAAACCCGGGAGATTTGAAACCTGCGGCCCCGCCCTCTGACACAGAAACCCAGACACACACACACCCACAAACATGCTGGTGGATTGAAGTCACACTGCAGATGGATATTATCGAGTCTCTACCCAAAAATGAAACCTCAGCATTATAACCAAGCAGTTGGAAACTACTGGAAACTACATGCTACAAAGAATACTTCATCAGCGTTTGTTAAAGGAAGGATCAGTAAAGACTAACTGATGGACGTCAGGATGGGTTTCTTCCTCCATTTCTTAAGTGTAAGTACGTGCGATTAAAGTTGTTGCCTCGTTGACTCTAGCTTGCAAATGTATTTAGTTGTGATTTGTTACTGGCTATATTCTCCTATCGCGTGCAAAGCCACGTTCAAGAGTTCACACTTAGCTGATGATTGGTAATAAGCTAGTTTGGCATGCTGTCCCAGGAGAGAGCCCTGAGCTCATGAGAGCCTCGAGCCCGGGGCTCCCTCCCGTTGCAGGGCGAGAGGGGAGTTTGAACTCGGGTAGATCTCGAGAACCCCCCTCCCTCCTGCTGCGTGAGGGTTGCTAAGGTCATGCGTTGCTAATAGAATTGAATCAAATTTGGTGCTAATTTGGATTAGTCAATTTACTTAAGTGTCATGTTTTTGGGAGTGTGGGAGGAAACCGGAGGACCCGGGGAAAACCCACGCAAGCACGGGGAGAACATGAACTCCGCACGAAAATGCTGACCGTTTGGGTAGATGCCCGAAGCGGAGGCATTTTGCTGTGAGGCTGCAGTGCTAGCCACTGGGCTGCCGTGCTGCCCTGTAGACAAAGGAGGAGGCGAAGGGGTGGTAGGGGGGATTCTTCAAGACGAAGATGACTAAAGGTAAGGTGTTTGGTTATTTATACTTGGTTAGGAGTAGTCTGATTGGTGGTTCGTACATTAGCTTGACTCGGGGCCAGCCGTGTCAATCATAAGCACGTGATCCTCTCGAAATTAGTTTATGAATAAACTTCACTTAAAAACGCGACGAGTGCTGCTTTGTTTACGGAGCTCCGTGGAGGAGGGTAGTGTGTGTGTGTGCGTGTGTGCGTGCGTGTGTGCGCGCTGTCGTCCGGAGGTATGTGTGTGTGTTTGTGTGTGTGTGCGCGCGCACGCACTGTCGTCCGGAGGTGTGTGTGTGTTTTTGTGTGTGTGTGCGCACACGCAAGGACGAGAGCAATATGTGTTTGTGTGTATGTGTGTCTGTGAAAAGAGCAGAGTGAGACAAGCTAGAAGATCTCCTCAACAGTTTTTGGAGTTTTTGCTCAGTAAAATAGCTAGTCGTCTGTATTTACATTGACCCACTGGCAGCTAAAATCCACGCCTACACTATCGAGCGTGTATGAACTGTGATTACTTTTATATTGCTGATTAGCTGTTGGGCATTTCACTCTCTCACTGAAGGCAGTCGACCAATGACAACAGACTGTCATTGGTCCAATCAGCGCAGATTAGCTTCGCGCTAAGGAGGAGTTTGGGAACAAATGAATCACTGGACAATTCATACGGGAGTCGCTGGGATAATTAGGTAAAAATAAATGCAGATTATAAGACCATGAAAGTGTTTTTTGA